CGGCCACGGGTCACGGCCCCGGGTCACCGCCCCGGGTCACGGCCGTGGGTCACGGTCCCAGGTCACGGTCCAGTCACGGCCCCAGGTCACGGCCGCGGGTCACTGTCCCGGGTCACGGCCGCGGGTCACGGTCCAGTCACGGCCCCAGGTCACGGCCACGGGTCACGGCCCCGGGTCACCGCCCCGGGTCACGGCCACGGGTCACGGCCCCGGGTCACGGTCGCGGGTCACAGTCCAGTCACAGCCCCGGCTCACCGTCCCGGGTCACGGTCGCGGGTCACGGCCCCGGGTCACAATCCCGGGTCACTGTCCCGGGTCACGGCGTCCCCAACGAGGCCGAGTGGGCACGGCCCTCCTTCCTCACAGGTACTGTGAGACCTGCACCCCCGAGGTGCGGCCTGAGGGGCCTTCCAGACCCGCCCAGAGAGAGCCGCACCACGCCGCGCCGCCTGCCCTGCGCCAAGCGCGGCACTGGCCACTGCGGGAACCGGGAGGGACAGCGGCCTGCTGGACGCAAAGCCCCTCCGGGGAGCCCGCGGACGCGCCAGGAGGCCAGGGCCGGCCGGCCGCCGCACTGGACAGATCGACGAAGTCCACTGCTGAGGGGAGCAGCGGGTGGGTCAGGAGAGGTCTGCCGCGCCATGTGGTCACCTCCGGGGCAGGCGGGGATCGAACTCATGCGGAAGCGGCTTACGCTTCTTAGTGCAGCGCTTTAACCCGCTGCGCCACCAGGGAGGGCCAGATTCCCTTTATTTTTTAAAAAAGATTTCCTTGGGCCCTCCCTGGGGGCGCAGCAGGTTAAGCACAGCACAAAGCTAAAGCCGCTTCCGCATGAGTTCAATCCCCGCCTGCCCCGGAGGTGACCACAGGGCGTGGCAGACCCCTCCTGACCTGCCCGCTGCTCCCCTCAGCAGCGTACTTCATCCATCTGCCTGTTCTGCTCCCCGCTCTGTCTCTGGTGAAGCCTCTCACCATTCCTCAGCCTCTGGCCTGTACCCCAGTTCTGTATGCACAAATAAATAAATCTTTAAACAAATAAATAAATAAGGCAATCTCATTAAAACCACAATGAGATACCACCTCACCCCAGTGAGAACGGCACATCTTCAAACAACACGTGTTGGCGAGGACGTGGAGAAAGAGGAACTCTGCACGGCTGGCAGGAATGCAAACTGGTACAACCACTGTGGAAAACTGCAGTTTCCTCAAACCGCTAAACATGGAGCTTCCCTACGACCCAGCATCCCACTCCTGGGTATCTACCCAGAGACACAAAAATACGGATTCAAAAAGACGCCTGCACCCCCATGTTTATGGCTCTTTTATTCACAATTGGAAAAACATGGAAACAACCCAAATGCCCGAAAATGGATGACCGGATTACAAAGATGTGGTCCATATACACGGTGGAATACCACTCAGCCAGCAAAAAGAAACACAGGCCTTTTGCAGCAACGTGGATGGAGCTGGAAGGGCTCATGCTGAGTGACATAAGCCAGAAAGGAAGGAAAGGAAAAATACCGGATGGCTTCACTCATAGCAGGAGCATAAAGGGCCGGGAGAAGAGAATAATAATAGTGAGGGAGGGGAGCACGGGACTCGGGTGGTGGCACAGGGTGATCTGGTGATGGGAAGCCCATGGGATTGCAAGTGAGATGGGGAAAGGCACAAAATGGTGTAAAAATAAAGTATTGCGTTGTTTTTAAAAATGAGGTTGAAGCAACGATCAAAAAGAAAGGTGACTCCGGGCCCTCCCTGGTGGCTCAGCGGGTTAAAGCGCAGCACTAAGAAGCTTAAGCCACTTACGCATGAGTTCAATTCCCGCCTGCTCCGGAGGAGATCCACATGGCGTGGCAGACCTCTCCTGACCCTGGTGGCACGGCGAGTTAAAGCATAGCACTAAGAACCTAAAGCCACTTCTGCATGAGTTGGATTCCCACCTGCCCCGGAGGTGACCACATGG